AAAAGACTTGTGAACATCTCTGGCCAGCGCTCAAAAAATGCAACAGGTTGCTCACCTTCAGCTCCCTCCTTTAAGCCAACAACCATCATCCAGCCTTTTGCTGTTGCCTTCCACTCGGGTTGTCATAGCTTCCAGTGTAGTCGTGAATTTGGCCAGCTTCTCCTCTAGAATCTTTCCGACGCTTTCGGTCACTTCCTGAATTAGCTGTGAGGAGTAGCCACCTTCACCTGAGCCGCCATCTTGCGTCTCACTGTCGTATTTGTTTCTTGGATTTCTTTGCCATTTGCATTTTTCCGGACGGAGCCAAGTCACTTTCCTTGCCGGACATTGTCAGAAGGCAAAAATTGGCCCAAAAAGGGTCAGAAGAGCAGTCTGTAAGCAAGTTAAGGTCAATGGGAGCGGGAGCTCAATGCCAGTCTGACCTCGCAGCTCAGTGACGTCATCGCTCCCCACATTCAGTGCTTTAAATGATTTGAATGACATTGCATTCCAGTCTGCACCTGTATCCAGTTTGAAAGTTATCACTTTACTGTTTATTCTTAGATTTTCAGTCCATTTTTCTTCCTGAGATTCAGTGTCTACTGTCTCCATCACTCTGATGTGATTCTTCTGTTCCACTTTGACTGTGCCAACAAACATGCCATTTTCGCTCACTTTGCTCAACTGCATGCACTTTCTTCCCATGCTGGTACTGCTGACCCGAGGATTTGCACATCTTGGCAAAATGATTTTTCTTGTGGCACAATTTACATATTTGGCCTATGGCAGGACATTTCCTTGCTCAGTGTTTAAAGCCACATCTACTGCAACTTGAGTCTTTTTGATCATGCTTTGGTGAACTGGCCTTAGGTGTGTCATCCTTTTGCTTAACAGCTCTTATTCTGTTCACTTCTACCTCTTCCGTCAGTGCTTTAGCCTGACTGGATGTAATTTCACTTGCACTGCAAATGGCTATCGCTTTTCCTAGAGTTAAATCTGCTTCTCTGAGGAGTCTGCCTCTCACTTGGTCGCTAGTTATGCCACACACTATTCTGTCATGTACCAGTGAGTCGTGCAGCTGTCCAAATTCAGTCTTTGGCTTTATTCCTTAAATCCGTAACGTACGCATCAATGGATTCCGACTGCTTCTGGGCCCGTGTGAAGAACATATGTCGTATGTACGGCAAGTTTTTCCTGGGCTCACAGTAGTCCTGAAACTTCCTCTTCAGAATAGCTATTTTGTCTCTCTTGTCGTCCCCAAAGTCGAAAGTATTACATACATTTATTGCTTCCTCTCCTGCGACATGGAGAAAGGTGGCACACTGTACCTTTTTGGACTTTTCTGCGATGCCGCTGGCAGTACAGAAGAGCTCGAAGTGCTGAATCCAGGTCCTCCAATTTTCAACAAGATTGCCTTGCAGGCTTAAAGTTGGTGGAGGTTAAAACTGCGCCATATGTAACCGATGGTGTCTGCACTGCGTTGTGTTGATTTGAGCCGAACACCGTTCTTTTTGGAGGCGATCTTATTTATTAACACAGTTCACAGACGATAAAACAATCACAAAATCCTCTGTCAGTCTCAACTCGTACTGCTCTCCCATCAGATACATGTACAAAAGGGCGGCCGCGTAAGGCGGGAAACATTCAACATTCATACATACAGTAAGTACAGTACATACCTTGACAGACGATAAAACAGTCACAAAATCCTCTGTCAGTCTCAACTCGTACTGCTACAGAAATTAAATGACAGAACAACATATTAGAACTGGGAAAGTAAACTTATAAATGAAATTATGTACATAAGTTGACAGACAACAGCAGCACAGTCTTGCTTACCTCTCCCATCGGATACATGTACAAAAGGGGAGAGGCAAGGCAGGAAAAACACATTTATAGGGGTACGGTGGGTAATCAAAAATGAATGTGGGGTACTAAGACCCCCAAGTGAAAGGTTCCACACCAAAACCAAATGCAGACTAGATTTTGTGGAATTCTATTAATTAAAAGTAATAATAAAATAACAGTAAATATATATATATACACAATACAATACAATATGTATAACTAATAAAACGATACATATATATTTAATATAAAACTGCTGCTGCATTACTGATCCTGTTACACATACTCTCATTCCGCCTTAACTTCTGACACCATGTTGTATATTGACGAGTCGGGAGGCTTGCATTGTATGTGAAACATCACATTTTACTTGGAACCATTACATTGCTCTGGCTGCATCAGCTCCGGCATACCGCGCGTACAACAACACGTCACACACCTCCGTGTTCATGTATTCCCACTACGGGTGCCTGTTAGGCACTAACCTTAATCCATTACAGCATCCAGGCACACGGAATGTTTGTCAGTGCCCAATTTCATGGTCCACTGATTACACTGATGCACAAGATGCGTCAGCGCTATGCTAGCAACAACAAACATGGAGGAATCCGATGAGAGTGCATTGCTTGGACTGATGGAGGGCAAGTTTCATTTTAAAAAACTGCCTGATGGAAACCTTGACAAGAGCGTGCTTGGTGCAACTTGTGCAAAAAAGAATTTGCATCCCGCCGAAGCACATCAAGCTTACGGTACCACCTGAATGCAAAGAATGTTGTAGCGAGCAGTCCTGGATAGCGACGATTTTTTTTAACGCGTTATTTTTTGTTGTGTTATGCCCCGGTCTAGGGGAACCTTTGGCATAACATGACTTTTGCTCCACACCAGTCTTTTCACTTCAGAGAAGGCCAGCAATCAAGACAAGTCAGGTATCAAAATGAGCAGTTTCTTTTATTTTTTACAATGAAGAGGGGGAACATAGGCCAAAATAACAAACAAAACATACCCTACATTAACCCTGACCTCCCTGTTGGAAAAAAAAAACTGCAAATAAAAGACAATAACTTACCTACCTACCTAGTAAACAAAAAAACAGGAGAAAAAAGGTCTAAAAGAAAAAGGCCTCTCCCTCCTACTCTGCTCTCTAACTACAATTTTTACATAGAGTCACTACAAGACTCGGGATCTGTTGCACACAATCCTGGAACAAACACGTTACTGCTGCATCCTCCTGCAGTACAGTCACGATGTCCTGCTGGCTTTCTCTGAGGTGGCGAGGCTGGAGGTGAGGAGCACGAGTGCAGCTGGCGGGCTGTTCAAATAGTGGATGGGCCCACCCTCTGACCAATTGCGTGGCTAGAATCAGGCGCGGCAGCAGGTGAGACAGCCAATCCAGGGTCACCACCTGCTCCTAATCCATTCGTTCATCCCACACACACACACTGAGGAGAGAAGCAAGCAGCAGACACAAAAACACTTTTGATGACCCACAGGGTCATAACAGTTGAAATTAATTAATCGTAATTTAACGCGTTAAAGTCCCACCCCTAATATTATAAATATAATTAGGTGAAAGTAATAATTAGTACTAATTCAGTATTCATTATTATTACTAGGCTCAATGTCTGTTTAAAATGTAACTTGACTTGTGTGTAGTGAAGTATGTTAAAATGAAAATTACACACACAGAAACTCACTGTGCTTTTGTAGGATTACATTTTCCTTTTCAAGTTTAAATAATATCTGGTATTGGCTTCCTTATTTGATGAAGGAAAATGCAAAAATATATTCATAAACCAAGAATTAATTCAGTAAGATAATCATTTTTGAAAAAGTAATCAAATTGTCTTACTATTCTAAAATGTTAATTTGATTTTCCATTTCAAAATGCTGTATTTCTCAAGTCCCTTTTCACTCAATACATTTGTTTTATAGGATTAAATAAAAAGTATAAATAATTTAAATGCTTCTAAAAGGAGTTCAGACATTTAAAAAAATTGCTATGAAGCTCTTTAGTGTAACTGTACATAACATTTTTGTTACGAATGGTTCAGGAACTCAGGTGCAGAAAACAGAGACACGGCAGACAGATGGATAAATGCAGAAGTGAATTCATTTACAAGGAGCAGTGTAGAGATTTACAGTGAAACAGACACTCTCAGAAACCAAAAGATAAACTACAACTAGAACTAATTTAATAGACTAACTGGAAAACAAACTTAAAACACATGAGCACTATCTGGCGATATGTCGGACTGACAGACCGAAAAACAGGCTAAACCAAAACCTGGTACAACTGAGCACGGAAAAGCAAACAATAAGCACAAACTAAACTATAAACACTATTTACACTATATACAAAACCTACGATTAAACTGTCACCTGATGGAGCAGCGTAGGGAAAAGGGAAGGGGGTCCAGGCTGACAGGAGTAGGAGACGAGGAACTGTAGGCAGCTGAGCAAGCAGCAGACTGAGGTGGAATTGGCTCCGCTCTTCGGCATACAGCTGAGGACAGCAGACAGGCAGGTGAAGGTCGGACTGAAGGCACGACTGACGAGGTATAGATTCAGACAGGGCTGGAACTGATGGGTTCAGCAGACAAACTGGAGAACGGTCCAGCAACGCTGGTGGATTCTGCTGCAGCTTATAAAGGACAGGTGTTGGCATTCAGGCTCCCGCCGTCATCGCAGTGATTGCCAACACCTGCTGCCACCAACCATTGCCGCCCCAGGGCACGCCCTCCTGCAGGAATCAGGCTGAGTGGAGGAGAGAGAGTGACTGCCAGCACGCAGGTCTAAGAGGCGGGTGTGACAGTTCTCAGTAATTTTTTAAATTACTTCTCTGATCAACCTTTATTTAAACTCTGAATACACTTTCTCGAAGCCAGTAACACTAAAAATATTAAAATGCCAAACCTGCACAATAATGAAAACATTGAGAATAATTTGAGTATTTCTACACTTCAAAAAAGTTTGCATAATAATAAACTGAATGAAACAGATTTTCCAAGAAAAAAATGTAATTTTTCGGATGAATGAATGAATGAATGAATTTCCACAGACACCGATGTAAAAATTATGCTAACTTTAATAAAGATGCTACCCTGACAGTCTCTTTATTCTCCATAATTCAGGGTTTGTTTGATAACAAAACAAACCACGACACACTAACAGTGTTTCCTGTAGTAATTTTTTATTATTCAAATGTTATGTTTGGATTTACAGGCACGTGGAAACAAACAGGGTGATTCAGGTCCTCACAGAGATAGAAACACGACACAATCACAACAGAACAGAACAGATGCAGGCTGTGCAGCTCACACGTCAACAGGTTACAACACAAATAACTGGTACATTATAACTTAAAATACTGTTTATACATCACGTCTGTGAACGCTGCACAGTCTGCAGAGTGGCCGTCTGGATGGAGGGAGAAATAAAACAACGTGAACATCGACTCTCTCCGATAAACCAAGTTTATCTGCCAGAGAGTTTTTAAAACATAACGTTTTCTGTTTAGGACCTGATTTCTGTAAAACCCTGCTTCAGTACCGACAGGAGGAGGTCCGACAAAGACAATGAAACTCGGACACCCTTGTAGGGACTTTATATTAAGGCACAAAAACACTAAATAAAACTACTGAATGACCACATGATGACTTGTGAGGCTTTAAATTGTCCTGATCGGTAAAAGGGTCAAAACAAACAAACAAAAAAAATATATCTGTTAGGTTGATTTAACTTGTGAAAACTCAGAGAATCAAGAAAACACAAATGAAATATTGGCATCGCTATAAGGCAGCAACACGGAGCCTTGTATACAAGCAAGCATATTATAATAACATACCACAGACGTTATCATAGATATTTATATATATTTAACCTGGAGGTTTCAGTTGATTGATTGTGATCAAACTTAACACGGCTGTTTGCATGTTGGAGTTTTTAGTTCTTAGAAATCAGCCAGTCCTGAATCATTTACGCATATATTTACACAAAATAACAAATTCCTCACTCTATGTCATAATAAAAAACATTCACACAAAAATATAACATTTGAAATAATTATTAGCACCAGTGTATCAGATAAAATTCTCGCTACGCAAAATGTACAAAGTTGCATAGTGTTGGATTGAGCCTGGAAGGAAGTGTTAATGTGTGAAAAGCAGCAACTTCTGGAGACAATAATTAAGTTTGTAGTGTTAACAAAAAAAAAAAAAAAAAAGGTGAAATGGTGTCTGATCAAGGTGAGAAATGTCAGAGCTGATTTAAAGATGCCCCCAAGTCCTGAAAGGTTTTACTTTTAACCTGTGCAGCAATAGCATGTGACTGTGGGAACAAGATTTAACTTGTGTGCAGCAGATTTGATTTGTTCCCAGAAACGAAAGATTTCTGGCACAAAATCCAAACTCAAGATCGACATCTATGGGAACAAGATGACAACTGGTATATCTCAAGATCAAAAGTTTAAGGGAACAAAATCATATCGGACACATACAATAAAATCTTGTATCCTATATTTTACAGATATTATCTTTACAGGAAACTAGATCCAGATCTCCTGGGAATCAGATCAGAATTTGTTTGCTGAAGATTTGTTCCCTTAAATTTCAGATTTCAGTGACATCTCTGTCCAGCATAATACACTTGCAGAAGATGTGGCTCTTGTGGAAACAAGTCAAAACCTTGTGTGCATGAGAAGATAATTTTGCATCCTAATAATCTAAAGAAAACACTTTCCACAGACAAGTAACCTGATCCAGATCTCCTGGAACAGACTGGAACTTGTATACAGAAGATTTAATCTTCTTCCCTTTAATTTTGGATCACTGGGAATTTATTGCAGACATCTTTTGGATGCAGCATAATATGCTTGCAGAAGATGTGGATCTTGTGGAAAAGACAAAACCTTGTGTGCACAAGTTGTTAACTTGTTCCCACAAAATCCAAACCCAAGATCCAGATCTGTGGGTAACAAGACATTACTTGTATGTAGAAGACTTGATCTTGTTTCCTAAAACTTTATATTTCTGGGAACTTACTGCCAGAAACAAGATTAAACCTTGTGTGCACATGTTACTATCTGGTTCCCACAAGACCCAAACCAAAGATCCAGAACTCCTGGGAACAATATAGAACTTTTGTGCAAAAGACTTGATCTTGTTCCTTTAAACATTGAATGTGTGGGAACTTACTGCAAAGATATCTTCTCTACACAACATGATAACAAGTTCGCAGAAGATGTAGATCTTGTGGAGACAAGACAAAACCTTTCGTGCACAAATTGCTATCTGGTTCCCACAAGATCCAGACCTTGCGCACAGAAGATCCAGATCTCCTCAAAACAAGAAATGAATTTGCCCTAAAGCTTTCATTTGTGTCTTGAGAATAATAAAGATTATATTTTGGGAACAAGACAGTTTCTTGATAGAATTTGTTCCCACAAGATCCAGGACTTGTTCATGCAAAATCCAAACCCAGGATCACATCTGACACAAGACAATAAACTGTTCTAACAAAGATGGATGGTTTCATCTCTGTGCTTATACAAAATGTTTTGCACCAACAAACATGATGTTGTGGCTCTGATATCTTAATAACATCAAGATTTTATTTTGCGTTTCCACGAGATCCATAGCTAAAGATCTGTATCTCTGGGAACAGGATGACCATTTATGTGAGATATAGAAACTAACTTCTTGATATTAAAGATTTAATTTAGCTGCACAGAAAACTATCTTGTTGCCCCAACATCCAGATTTAAGAGCTTTAACTCAAACTCAACGTGTTTATCTCAGGTTATTTTCGGACTCGGAGGCTTCGTGTGCAGCAGAAGAGTTTGTGTGGCTTTACTCAACAACGCCACCTGCTGGAGGTGAAAATACTGTCGTAGGAAGGAGGAGATTCTGCTGCTGTTTGAGTCGACACGTAGCTCTGGGTAAAAAAAAAGAAGAAAATCAAAAAAGAGAGGATTCCTTCACTGTGTTCTGAAATCATGGCTGATGTGAATGGAAAAGACACCACCGCTGGAGGCGTTGAAACAGTTTGGAGCTGAAACTGTAGCTGGCGTGTCGCTGGGCTGGCTGGAAGCTTCCTGTGTGTTTCTGCATCAGAGCAGACGGCTGCAGTCACGTCGGGTTTGTTTTGTTTTCTCCAAGGTTCTTCACCTCGCTGCACGACTTCTTGGCGCCGCTGAGTTCATTCTTCCGAAACCACTGCGTCTCAAAAAAAAAACAACCTAAAGACACAACAAAAACAGCTGCTTCTCTTCGCTGAACACTGTGAAATGTTGGCTTCTCTCTCGCAAAAGAAAAACAAAGACAAGATTCTGAAAAAGTTTAAAAAACTGTTTTGGTAAAAATCAGCGTGTTCGCCGGAGTGTTAGATGTGAGACGGGGAGTGTGGGGGCGGGGCTTAGGAGGAGATTGGCGGGGCTAAGGCCTCTCCAGAGACGGCGTGTTAAAGCAGCCTTCGGGTAGCGTGTTCTTGATGTCATTTAGGTTGGCGATGTCTGCACGGATCTCGCGGATCTGCTGGTCGTAGTCCTTGATCATATCCTCCTGGGTTTTCGCCACGTCGTTCAGCTCAGCCAGCTTCTTGTCCAGATCGCTGTCGGTCATCTTGCCCTTGGCCCTCTTCAGCGACTCGTCGATCTGGTTCAGTTTGCTCAGGTCCACTTTGTCAATGTTTCCTGCAGATGAGACAAAGGCTTCAGTTTAAGAAGAAGAACTGTGAAGCTGCAACTGACAAATGTAATATCAGAACATCTGACAGTTATTTTCTTTAATAAATTACATTTTCAAGAATCAAATTTACCAGAAAATACTGAAAAATTACCCGAATTGCTCGTTAACAGAATAAAAAAAAAAAAAGAAGAAGAAAAGTTTGGATTTAATAGCATAGAAAATGTTGGTACCATAAAATTTTGGGCATCTTTGCTTAATGTTTTTGTCATTCATCCTTAAAAATTCCTCCTGTGCATTAAGTATTTTAAAAACTTGGAGTTTATTAAACATCTTGTAAAACATCTTTCTACAGCTGATGAGCAAAGTAGAGAGAAAATGTTTGTAGATGCTGAAAACATGGAACTACTTAAATATCTACAGTATCTAGTATCATAAGTGTTTGTTTGCATGTGTGTTGATGACACTTGAAAAAAAAGGTCCTACCTGTTGATTCCAGATTTTTTTGTTTTTTTGCAAAATAAATAACCCCCCCTCCCCAAAATCTGTTTTTCTTTATTTTTTAATGATTTCTATCATTCTAACCGTGTCATACTGTCATACTCTGTTTCTACAGAACTTCACTACTTCAGTGAAAAATGAGATCACAGTGAGGAAAAATGCAACATTAGCAAAAACAAGAACGAAAAAAAAAAAAAAAAACACCCAGAAACTGCTGCTTGGAGTTCTGAGGGCTAAACTGAAACTGATGTTCCAGTTTTCACCTAAAACAACTAAACATGTATTTTTTTCTGTTCTTACCGAGCTGATCCATCAGAGCTGTGATGATCTTCAGAACCGTCTTCACGGTGCTCTTGGCTTTGCGGGCGTTATCCTCGGCCTCCTTTGCGTTATCCGATGCCTGCGCGACACGATGAATAATTTATTTAAATAATTTTAGTCGCACAAACAGTCAACACATCAAATAAGAGCTTTATGATCCTGAAAACTTTTCTAAAATTAAAACAGTGAAAAGACGACTCAGGTGATTTTGCAGATTTTGTTGCAGATTTTTGAGTCTTTGTAAAAGTTGTACAATCCTGAACTGGGTGTTGCTGTAAGTCGACATGTTTCTTAATTTTACTCCTAGGATTCACATCACACATAACAGTTAATATTATTAATAATAGTAATTACTGTTTTATCATTAAAACAATAATGTACTAATACAAATAGTGATGATATGAATACAACAATAAAACAATGACAGTGGATAATAGTTAATAACATTAATACTAATAGTAAACAATAGTTAATAACATTAATACTACTGGAAAATAATAGTTAATAACTTCTTGAATGGTGTGAAGGCAGTTCAGTGATAATAATAGTACATAATTACAAGATTAATAGTGAAGAACAGGTGATAGTAGTAGTAGTAATAATAGTAATAGTAGTAATAGTAGTAATAATAACAGCAATGTAAAAAAACAGTAACGGTAATAATATTTCTAAAAAAAGTGTTAAATATCTGTTATTTACTGCTGTTGTTATTGTTATTTTGTTAATAATAATAATAATAATAATAATAATATTTACTATCAATAACATTTCATTATTAACTGTCTGTGCCATTCCCAGTGCAACGCAACAATAATAGAAGTAAATAAAAACAGTTAATAATAACATTAACATTAATGAATGAAATGAAATGAAAATGAAATGAAATGAATGAAAATGAAAATGAAAAATACTTTATTCATCCCAGAAGGGAAATTCAATAATATAATAAATAAAATAAATTAAATAAATTAAATAAATAAATAAAAAATCAAATAATAACAGTTATTATTATTATGATTATTATTAATCACAATAATGACAACAACAACATTAATCCTAAGGGTAAATTAAATGAAAATGTGAATATTAACTGTTCGTACCATTGCCAGTAGATAATGATAATAACAAGAAACAGTAAATAATAGTAGTAAATATTAACAATTCATACCATTCCCGCCATCATCATATCCTGGTCGGCTTCGTTCTTCTTCTTCTGCAGTTCCTGCTCGGCGGCGCTCAGCTGCTCCATCATATCGTTGACTTCGTTGTCAAGCTTGTTGGTGTCTTTATAGGCCGACTCTGCATCTTCTTTGGTCTTAGCGGATCCCTGTGAGGAGATGATGACGTTTACAGTCAGATGAGTTAAATAAATAAACTGCTGCTCCTGATTATTACGGATGTTATGATTATTTACCTTCTGCACATTGCTGGCGATCCGCTCCGCCTCCTCCGCCTTGTTCTTGGCCTCTCGGGCGTCGGCGGCAGCGTTTCCGAGTGCCGCCTCCGCCTGTCTCGTCTTCTCGTTGGCGGCCATGATGGTGCCGTTGATGATGGGAATCTTCTTCATGGCTTCCTCCGCTGCCGTCTTGTTGTCGTTCACTCTCTTGTCAAAGTCTGTGGATGAATTTAGAGACAAAACGGTAAAAATACAGAACAGTCGCAACTACAGCTTTTAAAGACGATAAAAAGGGAAATTTGAAAGCTTTGATCAGCAATGCACATCTGATCTGAAATATAATATGAATAAGATTCTAATCAACTTTCTTTTTAAGAAATATTTTAAGAATTTGCTCCAGATTTATGGTTAAGACCTTTTTCCAAATTATTGGATTTTAATTATTTATAAAAATGGTAAATGGTAAATGGACTGCACTTATATAGCACTTTTCTACCTAAGGGGCACTCAAAGTGCTTTACAATGTTTTTCATTCACCCATTCACACACAGATTCATACACCAATGGCGACAGAACTGCCATGCAAGGCTCCCATTGGGAGCAACTTCGGGTTCAGTGTCTTGCCCAGGACACTTTGACTGTGGAGGGGCCAGGGATTGAACCACCAACCTTACGATCAGAGGACAACCGCTCTACCACGTGAGCAACAGCCACCCTAAAACTAAAATTCATGAAATATACATGGTATATTTAAGCATAAAAATATATATAAAAACTAAATTCGGAAGGTAATTTAAGGTGTGAAAACATCACTGATGTTTCCTAAAAACATTGTAAAAATCTAATTATATTTAATTTATAAATAAAGAAACAACTATAAGATGTTAATATTTTCTTTCTATATTTTTTTAGTTTGATTCCATCAATTTTTCCAGTAAATGTCCCCAAATCAAAAAAAATGGTCAATTTAAGGTAAAAATTAGGGGTATATGTATGTTTATCTTGTTAGGTTCATATATTTTATATTCATATTTTGATAATCTCTTATTCTTATCTTAATCTTTTATTATTATCTTAAGGCATAATCAACATAACTTAGAAACAATTGCTGCATGAGAAAACGTAGGTAGAAACCGGATTTGGTGGTTTGTGTATATCTTTCTCTGTCACAAGCAGGTATTTGCAGGAGGGAGAAACTGAGGGTGCCCAACAGTTGGGTGCAAAGTAGCAAGTTTCTGCATCTACGAGATGGGAGAAGAAGGCCCAAGGACACGGAGGAGCCAATCAGCTAGCTGCAACACATTCTGTGCACAATCTCATGTAATAGTATAAAGCACACTGGATCAGGGAGAGGCAGTCAGTCAGACTTCGTGCCCTGACATTAACTTTGTTGGTGCTAGGGTGAGAAGTTTGATCCAGAGCTCTGTATGCTTGTTCAACTATCTGATAAATAAATACATTGAGTGAGACCTAAATATCTTCTCCTATTGCTTCATTAAATGAATGCGCAGGAGCTACCTCACACATAGTTTAATTTCTGGTAGACTGAGATTGAGCTCCAACAATCTATAAATTTCAATGATTATTTTAGCCTTAAAAAACTGTTAAAACATAAAGAAAACATATTAAAGACACTTTAGTTTAAGTGGGGCATTTCTGATATACAGTAAACTCATTAATGAATATGTTTACAGTTTTACAGAGTTCAATCCATTTAATGTTTTGCCTCTATATTAGATCCCCTCATGTTTCACTGAAATAATAACAAACTGTTATTTATGTAATATCTGCAGGCTAACTAACGGAGCCTTTAGGTCAGAATATTAACTCTATTCCCTCAGTGTCACTTATAAACAGATGTTAGATTTCTGCAGACAGGAACTTGAAGTCAATGAGGCAGGTGACGGTACCTCTCAGGTCGTCCAGGATGCTCTCGGCCTCCCTGAATGTTGACTGGCCTTTTTTCGCAGCCTCCTCGGCCAGAGCTTTGGCAGCGTCAGCTCGAGCCAACAGCTGGTCTGCAGTCTGTCGCAGACGTACAAGAAAAACCAGATGTAAGAGACGTAAAACACAGTTACATATCGGCCTATGTAGTAACTGCTCCATCTCTGAATACGTCTTTAATGAGGTTAGACAGTAATTTAGTTCTCAAAATGTTCTTTCCAGGTTGTAATTTCTGTTTAATTTGTGACGAAAAAGAGACAAAATGACCGCAAAGAGACACACAAAATGACCATAGATACAAACAAAATGACCACAAATAGAAACAAATATCACAAAGAGACAAAACGACCACAAAAAGACACGAAATGACCACAAAGAGGGACAAAACAACAACAAAGAGACAAACTGATACAAATCAGAGATAGTGAGCAGAAGAGTAACCCACAAGCTGTTGTTAGCTTAACTTAGCATAAAGACTGGAAATGGGTGGAAACTGCTAACCTGCCTCAGTCCAGAGGTGAAAAATCTTCCAGCAGCTCTCGGAGAAAAACTACAAACTTGTGTCTGTGTTGTAGGTAAAGTACCTGCTGCTCAGTTTTTCCTTTCTCCAGCAGGTTGCGGACTTCCTGCTCTTTGGCCTTCAGGTCGTCTCTCAGGTCATTGTACTCCTTCTCCGTCTTATCAATCAGCTTGTCCAGATCCGAAGCCTCCTTCTTGATCTTACTGGCTTCATCCTGAAAAAAACAGAAGCAAAGACAGGAGTTGAAATTAGAATTGAAGTTCTGCAGATGTTACTGGTCCACATCTGGATCAGCAGTCACCTCGAGAGCCTTGGTGTCAAACGTTGGGAGGCTGGTCAGGTTGGCGAACAGCTTCAGAGCTTTGTCTCCGGCGTCTTGGGCCTCGGCTTGAACCTTGTTGGCCTGTTTCTCCAGATTCTTGGCCAGTTCTTTCGCCTCGTTGTATCTGAACAGGGAGTAACAAAAAATGTGGATGGAACATCAAAAAATCTGCAAATTCTGCTTCTGACTGAGACACTTGAAAGAAAGTTGCTTTCTATGAGGACACGTTGGAAGTACTCCAGTAAAACTTGCACAAAGAGACAAAACATTTCCAAAAAGATGTAAAGTGGCAGACACAAAATGACTATGAAGAGACACATAACAACCCCAAGACACTAAAAACAGCCATTCAAAACAACTACAAAGAGACAACACATGACCACAAACTGACACAAAACGACCAAAAAGACGCACAAAACGAGTACAAAGAGAAGCAACACAACCACAAGACATATAAATTAACCACAAACGGAGACAAAATGACCACAAAGAGATGCAAAGCAACCTCAAGGACACAATAATGATCACAAATAGACACACAAAACTACCAATCATGACTACAAAGAGACACAAAATGACCACAAACAGACATGAAATGACCACGAAGAAGCATAAAATGACTACAAAGAGAAACAGAATACTACAAAGAAACATTAAAAGACCACAGACACAAAATGACTATGAAGATACACTAAACACCAAAAAGAGACATAAAACAACCACAAAGACACACTAAGCTATGACAACATGACCCATCGATGCAAAAGAGTCACAACTAGACAGAAAATGACAATTTAGAGACAAAAGAACCACAAACAGAGACAAAATGAATATAAAGAGATGCTAAGTAACCACAAATAGACAAAAAAACCAACAACCACAAAGACATAAAAAATAAAAACAAATAGACACAAAACGACCTAAAACGACAGACGCACTTCTTGTTGAGGTCTTCGATCTCCTGGCTCGTCTTGCTTTCTCCGTCCAGAGTTTTCAGCAGCAGGTTGTGCGCTTTGGTTGATGTGTCGTTGGCGTCTTTGGCGATTTTCTCAATTTGGTCGGCGTCCATCTTGTGCCTGCGAAGGAACAAAATATAGCAAATTCTTTGCAGTTTGTTTCAGTGTGACAGAAGTTGCTCATTAACTCAAATTAAGGTCTGTGTCAAACAAATGCAAAATGATCATTAGCTTACATACAAGTTTTCTACATGTAGAGAAATCTGTACAACATCTACATTGTCTACGCATGAAAGTATCTGTGTTATAGCAGTATGTTTCAAAATATAGATGGATTCTGTGCAATATCATTTAATTTTTTTTTTTTTTCACTTTTCATTTTCAACTACCTCCTGTTTCATTTATTGCTATTGTCATGTTGTGAACTAATGTCCATCCATCCATCCATTTTCTTCCGCTTTTCCGAGTTTGGGTTGAGGGGGCAGCAGATGAAGCAGGTCATTCCAGATATCCTTCTTCTGGCAACGCTTTCCAGTTCTTCATGGGGGATCTGAGGCATTTCCAGGCCTTCGGTCACTACTCAGAACTTATGACCATAGATGATGGTTGGATTGTAGATGGACTGGTAAACCTGTTGATCATGATGGTCTGGTACAACGCCTGCTGCACCAAGCTGCCTTTTTATCTCACACTCCACTTTCATGTGACTCGCCAGTCAAGACAGTCCGCGTCCCTGGCTGTACACAACCTTGGCCAAGCCCTGCCTCCCTTTCCTGAGGCTGAACAGTTAGCCAGAACTTCCTCGAGGCCAACCGAAAATCCTTCTCCATAGCTTCTACGAACTCCTCCCACACCTGAGATTTAGCTTATGCAACTGCCGCAGCTGCAGACCTTTTGGCCGACCTGCACCTGTCTGTTGCTTCAGGAGACCTCTGAGCCAACCAGGCCCGAAAAGTCTCCTGATGGCCACCTTCATCACTGTTGTCCACCAGCAGGTTTTTAGCTTGCTGCCGCGACAAGTACCAGTGACCTTCTGGCTGCCGCACCTAATAGCTGCTTCTGTAATAGAAGCTTTAAACATGGTCCACTCCGATTCCTTGTCTCCAATCTCACCTGGGATGAAGGAGAAACTCTTCTGGAGGTGAAAGTTGAAAGCCTCCATCAGATGTTTCCAGTTCACCCTCACTACCCATTTGGGTTTACCAGTCCTGTCCGCCAGCATCCCGGGCACAGGATCCAAGTCAATTTCATGGACCTTTGGCCTAAAGTGCTCTGGTACCATGTACATTTATCAGCCACCTGCTTGAACACGGTGCTCAAAATCAAACAATAGAGCACCAGTCAAGTTCAGATCAGGCAGACCGTCCCTCCCAATCACCCCTCCCCTTCAGGTTCCTCCATCATTGACTATGTGAGCATTGACTCCAAGAAGGCCAAGTACTCTGAGCTGCTGTTCAGTCCATAAGCACAGACAACAGTCAGACTTCTACCCTCTAAAATATGTCGTCCTAGAGAGGCGACCTTCTGGTTCTCTGGGGAGAACTCCAGCATAGTGGCACTCAGCTTGGGGTTTGCGATAGAGATGAGCCGATCCGATACTGGGTATCGGCATCGGGCCGATACTGGACGAAATTACGGTATCGGATGATTTATTTCACAGTGGTCACTGGCCGATCCGATACCGCCACACACACACAATCCTGTCTTCCGACACATCCACGTGTTCGTCTGCTCATTGGCTCCAAGTGTACAGCGTCAGAGAGTGTCTGCAACCCGACTGGTCGAATCTACAAGGGTGGAACTTGTCCGTACCGGGTTGACTGTCTGAGACACTCCATTGTCTCTTCAGGCTGTCACTCACCTATTGGCCAAACTAGGTGTCAATCAAAAGCTGAGCCGTCAAGCTGACTGTAGTGCTTTCAGCGCGATCTAAAATAGATTCAGGCTGATTTTGCCAGAAGAAATGAATAAAACAGCCGGAGCTGATCTCAAGCTGAGAAGACATTACTTCAGAATTCGTGCCTTTGAGGATCTAATACGTTTTACGGACCAAATTATTTTACTGGATTATGCTCGCTGGTTCTGTCCGGACAGAATGAGACCAAGCTGGTGAGGAATGAGCGATGTTTGAGCTGCAGAGAGCCTTCAAAAGTAAGAAAAGTCGGATTTTAACATTTTGCTTTTCTGTACAAAAAGCTCTTCGTGTCAACGCTGTGGTTGCTGCCGGTCAAAAATGTTTATATCATCGGAAAGAGGAGACTCTGAGCTTTCATTTGATGTGTATATTGTCGGGAAACGTGATTGTGGAGCATGCGCACATCTGGCTGTAATGTTTTTGGAAAGTGGTCCCGCCGGCGGGACGTGGTAGCTGTAAGGGGTTAAAAATACTCTTCTTAAATATATACACTACCGGTCAAAAGTTTTAGAACACCCTAATTTTTCCAGTTATTTATTGCAATTCAAGTTGTACAAGTCCAATGAATAGCTTGAAATGGTACAAAGGTTAGTACTGAACAGCCAGAGGTTTAAAAAAAAAGGTTTGGTTACACAAAACCAAAAAATAATGTACATTTCAGAATTATACAAAAAGGCCTTTTCCAGGAAACACGAAGTGGGTTAACAATTTAAAGCTGTTCTGCAGCAGTGAAGGTTGAAACAGCCTTAAAAGCTGGTGCTACTAATTCCTACATGTGGTCCAACTTTTCTTGATTACATACAACCCCCTCTGTCTCCATAAAAGCAGTGTTGGAACACACTGT